TGTGAACATGGTCAGTTGGATCCCGCCCACCACGTGACCAAACTGCGAATAGCGCGCCTATGGTGGTCACATGATCACGTGACCTTGTTGCGTGGGGTCACGTAATTACGCAGCGACGATTAAACTTGTAGCTCATGGCGCTGCGCATGAGAATACTTGCGTGACACTTGTGTCAGTATGGTTGTGCAAAGTGCCCGAAATTCGAACTTAAAATCGCTGCAACGCAACTTTAAACCGCGTGGAAGCAAATTAGTTACGGCTTTCGGTTTTAGCGCACGCGCCAGCCTTTGTCCCTACAATAGGCGAAATAAAAGGCAGTAGATTGGGGGATAAGCGAGTGAGGAGAGGACACGTTCATGGTAGCCGGCAGGTAGACCGGCATAACATACTTGTTTGTTGCTGTTGTTAAAAAAACATCTGTATTAAGTCTAATAAAGGAAAAATAGAAAGGGAGAACGATGGGTGGCTACCCCTATTCCGGGTCCCATTAAATTTCTATCGAGGTGCGCGCTGTCCGAGGCAGAACGAAAGTTCTTGTGTTCGTGGCTTTTATTTTCAGCGCTGTAATAATACGAATGTTGAGGAGCCAAATAAGTCATTAAGATTATCAAAATATTTTTCCTGCTTCTCCTGGCTCATGCAAATGTACTTTACCATTTGCGAAAATCAATGCCGCTATGCTCTAGAATGTAATGCGTCAAAAAGTAGGAGTAATTTCGTTAGACTGAACAAAATTACGCGTAAACTCCTCTCAATAGTGTTATGGTAGGTCATATGATAGAGTTAGTATGCCATATGATAGTTGTCCTCTTCTAATTAGCTGCTTAGAACATCTAAGGACCTTGCATTTGCAAGAGACGAGCGATTTTATGGGAAAGGGCAACTCAGAAAGATACAAACTTACGTCCACATTAAAGACGACCAAGTTCCGCTCCTTTGTGCACTATATTGCACGTGGCAGTGCCTTGTTGAATAACCGTACTTCGGGCTCAACTGCCTTCTTTCGGAGTTGCGGTATGAGCTTGTAACAGAACACAAAATGTACTCTTTGCCTGAACCATAGGAGCAGGTCCCGAAAAGCAAAGTCCAGATGCTAGCTGTCCTTTTGAATCATCGGAAAATATGTGATAGCATTTCTCGGTAGAAAGAACACGAAAATATAAAATTTAGCCAAAAGATGTAGATACGTCATGTTTTTCTTTGGGATATAGTATAAAACTAAAATAGCAAGACCTTGAGATAGTTGCATGATTTTCGTGTTGCACAACGAACTTTGATGTTTGCTTCAAACGACTATTGAAGGTGTCAAAAAGAAAAAAAAAGAAAAAAGACGGGTTTATTACGGTTATCGAACGCGGTTTTATCCACGTTCGTTTCAACGAAAGGGGTGCGGTATATCGAAGCACGGTTTAGCGAAAATGGATACATTTTATCGAGGCCTCCGTTTGAGAAATGCTGCTTGTAGGCGGCGGCAAGCTAGGCTTCCAAACAGACCGCGCTTTGTGCGGGCACCCCTCGCTATCGCTCGGGAAATGTTTAATATAAGTTCGAGCGTGGATCGCCAAGGGTTGGTTAGCATGCGGGCGGTCGCCATTTTCTCTAAACGGCAATCCGATCTGCTGTTGTCGCGAAAACGGTGTTCGCTAAAACGATCTTCCCTAAACCACACTTCTCCGGAAATCAGCACATTCTTCTCCATAGCTTACAACCATGCTGGGGTGTTGTAAGCTCCTCTTCTTTGACCAAGGCTGACCCCCTGTCGCCATTTTGCAGGTTGTTTCCGCCTCCGTATACTACCGCAAAATCGAACTTTTTGAGAGGCAACCCGTCAATGTTCTCCTGGAGAGCCTGCACCGTCGCTCCCCAGAAGCTAAAGCTGCACACTTGTATGCACTCATCTAAAAAGCGCGGCAAAGCCATTTCACTGGGCTGCTCCCGAAGATTGCGCCTTTCATCTTCGTCCGGACCTCAGTGAAATCTTCTCAATCTCACTTCTTTGTATACCACGGTCGAACGCTAGAGCACGTTTTTTGAAAGCAATACACCACAAGCGCACACAAGGAACTGAATAAAGACCCAGGATCGGCTGAGTGAGAAACGGCTAGCTAGACTTATTTTTGCCTCAAACATGCAGTCCGTGTTTGAAG